CAGAAAAATATGTTGATATCGATGTTGAAGTTGAGGAGTAGTAGAAAGAGAAAAAATAACATTTTCGTATTAAAGTAGAGTTTCGAGTCGGGTCGATTTTTGTAGCAAATATATGTTTGCTTCTTCGGCAATCCCACCAAAGGGAATGATATGACAGAAGGTCTGACCTTCCTTGAAATTCACATCTGCCCTGTGACGCAAAGGCACTTGTGGCAATGTGGCCGGGTCATTAACGAGGCAAGCTCTCATTCTGCACTGTCACGGTTCGAATCCCGCTGGGGGTGTTGAAAAGACCGAGGCGAGGTCGAAACTGCAATCCACTGATGCCAAATTGAGAACAACTTTTGGGAAAGCAAGGCTATGTGAAATTGAATGAAAACGTCAGCTCGACTCATAGGATTGTGGGAAAATTCTTCTTCTACCAGTCCTTCATCACCTTAAACGAAATTTGGGTGAATTCATCTCATACTACTGATATACTGGTAGTCACGAAAACAATACTTTATTCGAAAAATAAGTGAAATTGAATGGAAACGTCAGCTCAACTCATATGATTGTGGAAAAATTATTCTTCTACAAGTCCTTTATCACCTTATACCAAATTGTGTGAATACATCTCATACTACTGATTTACTGGTAGTCACGAAAACAATACTTTAATTGAAAAATATGTGAAATTGAATGGAAACGTCAGCTTAACTCATATAATTGTGGGAAATTTCTTCTTTTACCAGCCCTTCATCACCTTAAACGAAATTAGGTGAATAAATCTCTTATTACAGATTTACTGGTTATCACGAAAACAATACTTAATTCGAAAAATATGTGAAATTGAATGGAAACTTCAGCTCAACTCATATGATTGTTGGGTATTTGTTCTTCTACCGGTCCTTCATCACCTTAAATGAAATTGCGTGAATACCTCTTATATCAAAAAATGCTATTGATAATTTAAGAAGGTTGTAATAATAATTGGACGGAAGAGCCTGAACAGATTGAGGACGAGTTGAGATAGTAAAAAGAAGAATAAAATGTTTATGCTTTTGATGAAAAGGATGAGTAGGAGGAGAAAAAAGAAGAAGAAGAATGTACTGATTAAGAAGAGGATACTGCGAATGGCGAAGAGGAGCAGGACTAAGAAGAAGAATAAAATGGCAAGGATTCTCTTGATTATGACCGATGAGAATAATGTTAATAATAATAAGATAATTATGATGCTGATTAGAGGTAGGAGGAGGACGAAGAATAAGACTTGAGTTGTCGAGCCGGAGACTCTTTCGAGTGCGAGTGTGTCGGTTCGAGCCGCCGATGCAGGCGCTGTCGGTGTTGAAGGACAGCACAAAAGCCGCCTCTCCTTCGGGCCAGTCTGGAGCTGGCCCATGCGGACGGAAGGACTCGAACGTGATCGTGTGGAACGGCGGTACCGAGCGAATCGTTTCAAGCCGGGCTCGTGAATGGAGGTAGGACGGGCAATCCTGTCCTCCATGCCTCTACGTCCAAGGCGGATTTGGTACTCGGCAAAACCGCGAAACAGTCATTTTTCATTTGGTCAAAGATTTTATTTTGGGCTATTTGATCTTGAGGATCAGAAACGGAGATTTAACCTTTGATAACTTTGATTTAGTAACTTTAATGCATATAGACACAAACACACAAAAATATAAATACTCATACAATCGAGCAAAAATAACAGAACCAGTATAAAAGAAAATTAAACAAAC